CGTCACATGCCTCATTTACTTCTAACGCATTCGGTGCAACACCTTTGTGAAGCCCTCACAATTATCTCAACATTTCGCACACAAAAGACACCCTCAGTGAAAAGGCAACATACTGTTTTTCAAAACTAACTGCAGACAAAACAAAGGACAAAACACTAAATCTAGTCAAAATAAATGGTCCTTGGTGCTACTTTCTACTCAAAACACCCCCTAAAGTCCACCTGATCTGAGATTAAAGGTGTCCTATATTTCTGTCAGCATTTCTTTATTACTAATACTTTGCAACACACTGCCACCTTTTTAATGGACCTCTGAGCTACTGGTGATAGTGCTAAGCTTTAAAGGGACAGTTTACCCAAAAAGAGAAAAAAAAATTCATTTATTCATCTCCATGTTGTTCCATATCTATATGACTTACTTTCTCCTGCAGAACACAGAAGAAGATACTTTGTGTTTCAATGGACCTCAGTCATATTTCTGGGGTTTCACAGAAACGCAAGCCGTCATACAGTTGTTAAATAAACTTCTAGCCACCTTATTTTTCAACGCGGAAGTAAGCCGTTTTCTGCGAATGTGCGAGACTTTCGGTTCATTAGCCGCAGAGAATAACAAAGTACAGTAAATGCTAAAACTGTTTGCACTACAAATCAGTGTGTTCATAATTAAGATAATACATTCAAATAGCATGGTAAGACACACCAGTTTGCAATATCAAGCAGCAAAACTAGCTGTATTGTACAGCAAAAAATTGCTGGAAGCAAATGACAACGGAAGCCGGACCCCATTCAATTTACAAATGGCCGTGCTCGTTCTTATGGGAAAAATAAGGTGGATATTGGTGAATATCAAAAGAAAAAAAATCTGTGATAGCATCTCCATGACTTTCTAATTAGAAAAATAAAGACAGATTAACTACGGCAGTCCAAAACAACATATTGACTTTCATTGTATGGACAAAAACCACTCTGAAAATCATTGAAAAATAAATGTCATACAGGTTTGGAACAACTTGAAGGCAAGTAAATAATGAAAATTTTAATTTTTTGCCGAACCTTTTTTAGACAAACTTTTCTGTGTTTCTTTTAAAGTATGTCAAGTCACTCAAATAACTCAAAAAGGCAATTACTTAAAAAAAAACAGTTTTACTAGATTTTGTGACTAATTGTTATGTGGCATGGAGTATGATTTTCCTTTTGTGTTGGGTCTGAACATGCTTTGGATCTTCTTGTAATATACACCTAAAACCAGCTGCAAAATGCTAATTCGTAAAGCACATCTAAACCTACATATATATTCATTGCTAATTATGACTAATCAGTAGAAAAGGACTTCTCATTTCATGTGGTCCTTAAAGTGAACATCATGTGTTTTCACAGTGTTGACAGTAGATGAGAATCCAGTGTAAAAGGGCTGCTATTAGCCAAGTGGAAGTTTCCATAGAAACCATCAGCCATTTACAGGAGAGCCACCTCTTAATGGCAAATTAGCTACGACTCCTCATGTATTTGGTACCGCACAGAAATAATGTAGTCACATAGTTTCCAACTGGCTGGAATTAAAGGCTAGAATACACTGCACAACTTTTTCTCAGATCTTTGCCCCGATTCACCATCTGGACGAGGATGACACAAATTACTGAAAGACTGCAGATTTTGGCAGTCATAGATTTTGCAGAAATTTGCGTAGTGTAAAATGGATACAGACTGATTTTTTAGCTTCAGAGCATGATTCCATTCCGTTTGGAGGATATCAAACATGTTTGATATTTTAAGGCAATTTTAAAACACGTTGTTTTTATTTGTCATGCATCTCCATCAATGAGGTGCATGTTTCTGCATGACTTTGTTGTTTTTGGAATGACTTGAAAGTTTGATAGTTTGCGATCTTCAGGGTGAGGTCACACTGTCCTGGAGTTGTTCTGCAAAGTTTTTAGCATGCAAAGTCCAGTGAATTTCAATATGAATCCACTCGATCAGGAATTTCACGCAAGGGTGAAAGATTTCCCCAAGCAGATTTCGTAACAGGTTCAAGTTTATCACCTAGATTCACTATGTTGACCATAGGGCTGTGCAAAGTGCAACACCTTTGTGAAGCCCTCACAATTATCTCAACATTTCGCACACAAAAGACACCCTCAGTGAAAAGGCAACATACTGTTTTTCAAAACTAACTGCAGACAAAACAAAGGACAAAACACTAAATCTAGTCAAAATAAATGGTCCTTGGTGCTACTTTCTACTCAAAACACCCCCTAAAGTCCACCTGATCTGAGATTAAAGGTGTCCTATATTTCTGTCAGCATTTCTTTATTACTAATACTTTGCAACACACTGCCACCTTTTTAATGGACCTCTGAGCTACTGGTGATAGTGCTAAGCTTTAAAGGGACAGTTTACCCAAAAAGATTTTTTGACATTTATTCATCTCCATGTTGTTCCATATCTATATGACTTACTTTCTCCTGCAGAACACAGAAGAAGATACTTTGTGTTTCAATGGACCTCAGTCATATTTCTGGGGTTTCACAGAAACGCAAGCCGTCATACAGTTGTTAAATAAACTTCTAGCCACCTTATTTTTCAACGCGGAAGTAAGCCGTTTTCTGCGAATGTGCGAGACTTTCGGTTCATTAGCCGCAGAGAATAACAAAGTACAGTAAATGCTAAAACTGTTTGCACTACAAATCAGTGTGTTCATAATTAAGATAATACATTCAAATAGCATGGTAAGACACACCAGTTTGCAATATCAAGCAGCAAAACGAGCTGTATTGTACAGCAAAAAATTGCTGGAAGCAAATGACAACGGAAGCCGGACCCCATTCAATTTACAAATGGCCGTGCTCGTTCTTATGGGAAAAATAAGGTGGATATTGGTGAATATCAAAAGAAAAAAAATCTGTGATAGCATCTCCATGACTTTCTAATTAGAAAAATAAAGACAGATTAACTACGGCAGTCCAAAACAACATATTGACTTTCATTGTATGGACAAAAACCACTCTGAAAATCATTGAAAAATAAATGTCATACAGGTTTGGAACAACTTGAAGGCAAGTAAATAATGAAAATTTTAATTTTTTGCCGAACCTTTTTTAGACAAACTTTTCTGTGTTTCTTTTAAAGTATGTCAAGTCACTCAAATAACTCAAAAAGACAATTACTTAAAAAAAAACAGTTTTACTAGATTTTGTGACTAATTGTTATGTGGCATGGAGTATGATTTTCCTTTTGTGTTGGGTCTGAACATGCTTTGGATCTTCTTGTAATATACACCTAAAACCAGCTGCAAAATGCTAATTCGTAAAGCACATCTAAACCTACATATATATTCATTGCTAATTATGACTAATCAGTAGAAAAGGACTTCTCATTTCATGTGGTCCTTAAAGTGAACATCATGTGTTTTCACAGTGTTGACAGTAGATGAGAATCCAGTGTAAAAGGGCTGCTATTAGCCAAGTGGAAGTTTCCATAGAAACCATCAGCCATTTACAGGAGAGCCACCTCTTAATGGCAAATTAGCTACGACTCCTCATGTATTTGGTACCGCACAGAAATAATGTAGTCACATAGTTTCCAACTGGCTGGAATTAAAGGCTAGAATACACTGCACAACTTTTTCTCAGATCTTTGCCCCGATTCACCATCTGGACGAGGATGACACAAATTACTGAAAGACTGCAGATTTTGGCAGTCATAGATTTTGCAGAAATTTGCGTAGTGTAAAATTGATTTTTTTAGCTTCAGAGCATGATTCCATTCCGTTTGGAGGATATCAAACATGTTTGATATTTTAAGGCAATTTTAAAACACGTTGTTTTTATTTGTCATGCATCTCCATCAATGAGGTGCATGTTTCTGCATGACTTTGTTGTTTTTGGAATGACTTGAAAGTTTGATAGTTTGCGATCTTCAGGGTGAGGTCACACTGTCCTGGAGTTGTTCTGCAAAGTTTTTAGCATGCAAAGTCCAGTGAATTTCAATATGAATCCACTCGATCAGGAATTTCACGCAAGGGTGAAAGATTTCCCCAAGCAGATTTCGTAACAGGTTCAAGTTTATCACCTAGATTCACTATGTTGACCATAGGGCTGTGCAAATAATCGAATGTGATTTTCATGCATATCTTGTCAGTAAAGCCAGTTCTGTGATTAGTAGTAAATCTCCAGCACGTGCGTTCAGATGGAGTGGCATTTACTACACAGAGCCGTAGTTCACTGACAAGCTACGTAATATCGCGTTAAAAATCGCAGACGATTCATTGCCATTTACTATTGTAGTAAATGCCGTTCCATCTGAACGCATGTGCTGGAGATTTACTACAAGATACGCATGAAAATCGCACTCGATTATTTGCACAGCCCTAGTTGACCAACAGAAAACTGCTTGGTTTGAAAGTGACTTTGGTGTGAGCTCTGCTTCATACATCACTACACTATTGACAATCAAATTTTTTGCATGCAAAAAAAAGGGTAAAAAATGTGATCGCATCTTTAGTCATTAAAGGGTTAGTTCACCCAAAAATGATTGAATGATGTCATTAATTACTCACCTTCATGTTGTTCCAAACCAATAAGACCTTCGTTCATCTTCGGAACACCTATTAAGATATTTTTGATGAAATCCAAGAGCTTTTTGACCCTGCATAGACAGCAATGCAACCTGGCACTCTTGATAATGGTGGAGGATGGGATGAGGAGGAGAAGAAGTGTTGAATAAAGTTGTTATTTTTGTTTTCTTTGCGCACAAAAAGTATTCTGATGGCTTCATAAAATTATGGTTGAACCACTGTCACATGGACTATTTTAACTATGTTCTTACTATGTTTCTGGGCCTGGGAACATTTCAGTTATGTTGCTGTTTATGCAGGGTCAGAAAGCTCTCGGATTTCATCAAAAATATCTTAATTTGTGTTCCGAAGATGAACGAAGGTCTTACGGCTTTGGAACAACATGAGGGTGAGTAATTAATAACAGAATTGTCATTTTTGGGTGAACTATCCCTTTAAGTGTATGATGCCTAGTGTTTTAAAATGTATTCAGATTTCAAAAGTCATAAAGCGTATTCCAGCCTTAACCTGTCATTCCGCCTCTAGCTAATCCACTGCAGTTATTGCAGTAAAATACCTCTGTGTCAGAAACAAAATAACACCAAATATGAGGCATTTCCTCAGTCGGATCGCTACACGGGGGTGACACTGAGGTCTTCAGACAAGGAAAAGCCAGAATCTCTGTCCCTCATGGGCTTCTCAGACTGGGTGTACCTCCTTACGTCCTCATGTCCGTAGCTAGCATGGCGCTTCACCTGTGGTTTGTGGGTAAATGTTGCGGCCAGGCCGAGGACAGCCAGTGAAGATGTAGCTGAAGAGCTGGTGCTGAGCTCCACAGATTTGGACACAACTACAGGCAAATTCTCAGTCTCGTAGCTCTGCTCGTCGTACGCATAGTTTACGTTGCCACACGGGAAGCTTTGGAGTTTTGCCAAGTCCATAACCACAGCGAGCGAGCCGCCCGTATCCCCTGTTGGACCCTTCTGAGAGGAAGTCACTGTCGGACTGAATGCGGTCTGGGAGGATGCAGCAGATGGATGTGGGGATGACGAGACATTTGTGTTAACTTCTACTCCAGGGTCAATGCGCTCTGAGGTAGTGGACGGGACAGACATGAACGTGGGGTTGCAAGACAGAGGCATGGACTGGGTGTGGCACAGGGCTGTCTTCCCTCGTCCAAAGCTCTCCAGGACCCAGGAACCGTAAGTGGGGTTCCAAAGGTTTTTTGTCTTGTTCTTTAGCTTCTGGCTGCCTGATGATGAACTACTCCTGGAGCACGGTCGGTGCTCTGGAACTTGAAGCCACTGTCCTGGACAGACTCCAGGAGCAGGAACCGGCTCAGCCCAACAAGTCTCCAAAGTTTCTCGGTACGTACCCACCTCCTGTGTGAGATGGACTGGTCTTTGTAGCTTTGTAGGTTTGAGGGCCTGTGGGGCAGCACCGGTGATGCCCAGTCGAGGAGAAGCATCCTGGGACATAGAGTGGGCCACTAGAAGAGGGGTCATACTGCCTGATCCTTCAGGACGGATCACAGTGCTGCCTTCTTCTTCGGCAGCTGGACCATGCTCCACTGGAAGAGGGGTGTTGATGACATCAGGGTCCTGACAGATCATAGAATGCGTGACGAAGTGTGATGAAACGGAGAAAAAGGTGACAAAAAAGTCAAAAAGGGTCAACACGAGTGATGTAAGTGAGGGGTTTTCATTATTGTTCATATAATAATTGTGATCATTTTATTCTGTTGACATCTCAAGTTTTTAAGATTAAGAAATAAAATGACATTTTAGTTTTGTGAAGAAAATTATGCATTTTTTAGTTTCTCCTTGCCACTGGGGTTTATAAGCAGAGTTGGTAACATTACAGATAACTAAAAGTATAAAAAATACTTTTTTAATAAATTAAAATAAAATTGAAAAAATAAAAATGTAATTATTAGATTTTTCTAACTGAAATACATATGCTTAATTTGAAGTATAACAATTATTAAAATAAAACTGAAATAAAAAAATCTAAATAGAAATATATAAAAACATGACAAAATTATTACAACTTAAACTGAATTAAAATGAAAAACATAAAAATATATTTTTTCAAAATATTAATAGATACTATACTAGTAGTATATAAATAATACTAAAATAACAATGGTTACAAGGCTATTTTAGAATAATATTTACTGAAAGTTTTTACCAAAAAAATTAAGGCTGATTATCTAATTTTAGAAACATGTTGTGTTAAAATATTATGCTTAATATTTTTCTGAAACAGTAGACATGGGTGTTTATAAAAAAAATATATAGTTTTAGGAAGGGTGGACCTTGACAGCAAAAAGTTTGAAAACGTCTCATCAAAGTAAATTAAATGAACATACCACCTAATATACTGAAATCTAAATCTGTCAAATTCTGACCCCGTTATACCTGTGTACAGTAGTTGATCCTCTCTAAAATAGTCGAGAAGTTTGGTCTGTGTTCTGGACAGTGTTGCCAACACTGTGTCATGATCCGATAACTAAAACAGAACAAAATCCAACATTTCACTAATGTTTTATAGCTTACAACTGTACATTTTAAGGAATTTTTTTTTACATTTATTTAAGTTCAAGTTAGGCCCAAGATCCATTCTCAAAGCTGTTATTGTTACTTACACAGGGCCTGGGCAGCTCTTAGGAGGATCCATACGACCTCCACCTGTTACAAACTCCAGCACTTCCTGATTGGTCTTGCAGGGATAAGGCATGTATCCAAGAGAGAAAATCTCCCACAGCAGTACCCCGAAAGACCTGCAGATGGAGACAAATTGCATGTAATAGCTACAGTGTCTGGCCTCGGGTCTCTGCATCACTAATCACTGATGTAAAAAAACAATTCTTTAATACCTTTACAACCTGACATTGCTGACAAAAGAAGATAATTCAGTAAAGCAGAACTGTTATTACCAGGTGTCAGTCTTGCATGTAAAAACGCCCTCTAGAAAGGCTTCAGGTGGCATCCACTTCACCGGCAACATGGCACGGCCACCCTTCCTATAGTAACTCGCCCTGCAATGCAAAGCATTCCTTTATCAAAATTCAATGCCTGTGCTCATCATTAAAAAGGATGTGAGATAAGAAGTACGATGAAAGCACCTATAAATATCTCGAGCCATCCCAAAATCTCCAATTTTAGCCACTCTCTCTGGACCAGGACAGGTCAAAAGGCAGTTTCGTGCTGCAATGTCCCTGAAACACACATCAGACATACACAACTAACTTGTGCAAGACATCAAGGTCAAGAGCTGCAGCGAGTTAATGACATCTATATATTCACTGAAGAGCGGTTTCCACTTGAAGGCTACTTTAGGGCAAAGTTCAGTCAGGTTTGGCTTTGAGAAATCACCTGTGGATGAAGTGGTTCTCCTCTAGATAACGACAGCCAAGTGCGATATCTCTGGCCATATGCAGAAGCTCCAGCATACTTAGAGAAGACGGCTGATTCTGTGGAAAGACAAGATTACATTTTAAAGTTCTTTTAGAGAACTATTTTGTATCAAAATTGTGCTTATTTTACCTCATAATAAATGGAATTATAATTATGTTGTTTTCTTGGCAAACCAAAAAATGACAGCAAAAATGAGTGCTAACTGAGAAACGGAGGATATGATGTCTACACACTCAAACACTCACAGTTCTGGGTCGGTTTAGTCTGAGGAAAGTCTTCATGTCTCCTCCTGTCATGAGCTCCAGCAGTATGAAGCGAGGCAGGATCTGCAGACTGACGCCAATACAGCGCACAATGTTCTGATGGCTGAACTTACTGCACACACAAAAGAGTGAAGGAATAAACCCAAATGAACTATTAAGAAGAACGGTCAACTCGACTCTCACACAACACCACAGCATGACAGGACAGAACTGAGTAATTAGGACATTTCAAATGAATATTTGACTGTGTTACAGTTATTGTAATGTAAAATGTTTAGGTTATTTTGTTCATCTTGGTTTATTAATAATACTATGCACATTGTAGACTATTATTATTATTATAAAGCATCTTAAAATGAAGTGAAACAGATCTCTGAGAAAATGTACAACTGCTGTACGGAAGAGTGGGATACTTTTACATATTGTGGAACATTAACAACATATTATTGAAATACACTTACTTTTTCTTCTTACAATGTATCATAACATTTTTAAATGTATGCATTATTTAAGCTACTTTTTCAAACTTTTTTGTCTTTTACAGTATATATCCCCATAATCCTATCAATAAAGCTCAATATTATACCAGTAAAATCATTAGTACCCATAGAATAGTTATAATAGTATTATACTGGACTTCATTTAAAAAGGAACAAAATGTGTCAGTGAATTAACAATAAATAAATACATATAACATAACTTTTGAACAACTTTGATGTTTTGTTTAATAAAGTTTATGTAAAGTTATTTATATCATCATCATTTATATGATGTATAAATCTCAATTTAGAAAAATTGACTCTTATGACTGGTTTTGTGGTCCATGGTCTCATATTATTATTTTTATTGCTTCTATTGTCCTCATTTGTAAGTCGCTTTGGATAAAAAGCATCTGCTAAATGATTAAATGTAAATGTAAATATCAAATTTGTTTTATATAATATTATTTTATAGAATAATATAATTTAATATTAATACATTATATTATGCTATTTTAAAATTTCTAAATGATCAGTTTTACAAAGCCAAATCTGAATATCTGCTTTTAGGGAATCACTGATGTAGCCCATACAAATGAAGGATAGGATGTTGTTCACTAACTAAAGTACGGTTTGCTCAGAAGACTATGAATCACTAGAAAACATCTGCAGCTTGACTAAAGAGGACGTCATACCTTCAAAAACAAACAACAGATGTGAACCCGCTAATCGCAACAAACGTTTAAAAAGAAAGGAGCAGATTTCATAGCCTACAGTTAGTCTGACTGAGAGCAGAGGATTGGAATGACAATGTCTTCTTCTGTCTGTCGCACACCAAAGCAGTGCTGCGAGTGTATGTTACAGCCAAGCATACCTCATAATCAGAGCCTCCATTAGGAAATCCATCTCATCCTGCTCAGAACAGATTTCTGGAAGAGTCTGGAAGAGAAGAAGGATGGAAAGAGATAAAACACAGGATCAATTAAGACAAGCCAGAAACCAGTTTCAAAGGGAAAGGCAGATCTGGGAACACTCACCTTTATAGCAACCTGCATGGCTGTGTTTTCTCCATTCATACCCAAAACCTGTCCTTCGTACACTTCCCCAAAGGCACCGTGTCCCAACGCCCTATAGTTAAAAATGCAAGACAGCATCATTACTCACATGTTTTAAATGTGGAATTCATTTTCAGTATGTCATCACAGAATATTAAAGGAATATTGCGGGTTGAATGCAATACATACCGCAGACTTCCAGACAAATAGTTGACTAAAAGTTATGCACAAGTCAACATAATTTTTCGTTGTTATTCAACAGCACGTCAAACTCAAGTTGTATTTGACCCAGAACATTATTTTAACTAATAACAGGACCAGCGTAACCTGGGGTTATATTTTCATTAACTTTGAAGGCAATTTGTGAAATTTTGCAGAATGAATGCAAAGGTGATCAAATGTGTTAAATGGAGCTGAGAGCATTACAAATTAGCCATAATAAAACATAGTGCACAGACATAATGCAAACATACAATGCACAGTGGATGTGTAGGACTTTCAAATCAAATTCTGCAGAATTCCCAGAACGTAACATGGAATTCTGTGCATGCAGATTCCGTGTAGGTCTGCGATGACTCACAGTTTACTTATTGTAGAAATTGAAGTAGCAATCTTCTGGATACTAACCATCTTAACCTTGTTAACATCAGTTAATGCATTATGTATCAAGAAATAAAAATGAAAAATATTTTACAACATGTATTAATCTAGGTTAATATCATACATTAACCAAGATTATTTGACATAAACCACTGTATGTTTTATTTGTTTTATATAAATTATCATTCATGTATTATGAATAAACATTAAATTAGCATATTTATAAATAACATTAACCTAGATTAACAAAAAAGACTTAAAGAAGAAATTCAAGAAAAAAGCTAAATCTGAAAAAGTAAATTTTAAAGCCTCAGAATGATCTATTATGTTCAATAGTTTGAGAAATAATACTTTAATTCAGCATTGATGCATTAAATGTCACATTAAAGACATTTATAATTTAAAAAAAGATTTCTGTTTCAAATAAATGCTGTTCTTTTGAACTTCCAATTCATCAAAGAATCCTGAAAAAAACGTCTCGGTTACGTATGTAACCCTCGTTCCCTGAAGG